TCAACCATAAGATTTATTCTGATGCTTCTCCCAGTTAAAGACGGATGTAGACATCTTCTGGCTCAGATTAAATCAAGCATAGATTTATCCTGATACTTCTTCTAGTAGACATTTTTTGGCTCAGGATTAAATCGACCATAAATTTATTCTGATACTTCTCCTAGTTAAAGACAGACGCAGACATCTTTTGGCTCAGATTAAATCGACCATAGATTTATTTTGATACTTCTTCCAGTAGACCTTTTCTGAATCAGATTAAATCAACCATAGATTTATTATGATACTTCTTCTAGTTAAAAACAAAAAGACCTCTTCTGGCTCAGATTAAATCAAGTGTAGATTTATTCTGATACTTCTTCCAGTTAAAGACCGGCATAAAAATCTTTTGGCTCAGATTAAATCAAGCCTAGATTTATTCTGATACTTCTTCCCAGAGTCATTTTCTAGCTCAGATTAAATCAACCATAGATTTATTTTGATGCTTCTTCCAATAGACATTTCCTGGCTCAGATTAAATCAAGCGTAGATTTATTCTGATACTTCTCCAAGTTGAAGTCGAGCGTATACTTAGTCTAATTTCTACCAACAGTCACTTTAGATGGCATCTATAAGCCCATCTCTAATGACTCGTCATTACCTCTCCAAATGGCATCTTTAAGCCCATTCCCAGTATAATCAAGCAACAATGTTACTTTGTGCATAGGCGAGTACAAATTTCTGGGCACAAATGAATTTCATGGGTCATAATAGGTCCTCAATAATGCTTATGTCAAGTTTCAAGTCTTGCATCACATGTTTGCTTAGTCAATGGCTCAGAAGATTGAAAATAAACTATATTGGGTAAAAAGTCAATTGAGGTCAACATATAGTCAAACTTCAAGACTTTTTGTCAACATCAACATTTTGAGGTGATATTAATCATTTGATAAAGGGTTGATCATGATTCCTCAAGGAAAGCCCTCAAATCATCAAAGGTCAAAAATTGCCAAATTAGGGTTTTGATTGAAGATGATTGATCATTGACTTTTGGCCTAGTGCATGACTTAATGGCTTAAAGAATGACCTCAAGGTCTCAAATACAACATCTTGACCTAATTACATGGCTCAAGACATTTCCAAAGATACGAGTGATTGATAGTTGAAGAATTGGATCAATTTTGATGAAAAGTCAACAGTCACACAAAAGTCAAACTTTGACTTTTTTTGTCAACATTGGAATTCAAAAATCAAGAATCATCAAAACATTCAAAACTATCAAAATTTGTCATCAAGAATTAAGAAAGTCAACAAAAGTCAAAATTAAAGATTTTCAAACACTTAGAAAAATTCAAGTGTTTTGTGCCTAAAAACCCTAACTTCACAAGCAATTTTCCTCAAGATACAAGTTGATTCAAGGAAAACTTTCAACATGAAAGTTGTAGGTATTGATGAATTCTAAAACTTTTCTTATGTGGTATGATCCTCAAAAGGTGCTTGGATTAAGAGATATGGGCCCATGAAGTTCTGATTATTTTTACCCAACACTTAGAAAAAACAAAGTCACTACTTTATGGCCATTTTTCACTAAGATCCAATTTGATTCAGCAAAAACTCACAACATGAAAGTTGTAGATCTTGATTCAAGCTTTCCAAAATGTCAAAGAACACAAATTTATCATACTTGAGCTAGAAGTTTCGAAGAGATAAAAATGGCATGTCAAAATTGAATTATAGGCCATTCTTTTGAAAACCATAAGATCAAATATGCAAACATGCCTTAGACATTATCACTTTGCAGGCCTCTAAACCTCTAAATCTATCTCTAATCATAAGAATACACAAGCTTTTGAGCTATGGTTCATTTGATTCAAGCATTATCCAATCCATTTTGCCATTAAGGTAAGGAAGGTTACACTTCTATTCTAGTAAAGCAAGCCTTTTGCAAAATGTCAATCCATTGAGCTCATAAATTGTTTCCTCTAATCACACTCCATTATAAAGTGAAGAAGCAACCTCCCTTCACCCATAAACTTCATAACATGCTTGTACTTGATCCTTGAAACCACCATTTTTACCATAACTTAATGTTTCACTTCCAACCAAGCCATAACTTGACATCTTCAGATTGCAACCAACTCAACCCCTCTAACCTTTGCCTATAAATATAGAGATCATTTGCAACCCAAGACAGGAATTAACAGCTCTAAAACACCCTCAAATTCTCTCAAACTCAGAATCACCAAGAAACCACCATTGTTGCACATTTGAAGCTTCCAACACCCAACTTCAAATCCACTTGTGCGTTTGCCTCTTTTATCATCTAAACACATCATACACATCATGTATAAGTGATCTAAACTCCTGTTTCATCACTATAACATCATCTTTGTCATCCACCATTCTCAAAATCTAACCTTGCAACTTGACTTGAGTAGAGCGTTCCAGCCATCCTCAAAGCAAAGTAAAGGTTGTAACACACTCACCAAGATCCAAGGAAGCTTTTAGCATCATTTATTTGCACCTGGAAGTATCCACACGCATTCTGAGCTTTCACTTTAAGAGGTAAGTTTTATAAACTGTGATATCTTGATACAAGCATTATTTGCAAATACATTCTAAAGCAAAAATGTAGATATAATGCCTCTAAAGCTAACCATGTGCTTACTTTTCATTTATATTGTTTGTGTGTTGAGAATCGTATCTCTGAACAGTTAGGGTTTTATTTTGGTACTGATAAAAATTTGTGAGTTATAGTCCATATAAATTTATGATGCTTGCATATTTGAAATCCTTTTTAAATTCTGAGTAATTTTGGTTTTTACAATTTTCAAAATGGATGAGAAATGAGAGTTTTAGGAATTCAACAATGGTGTTGTTGTCGGTTAGCGCGCGCGAGGAATAAGAAGATAGCAATTTCAAATTTTAAAACTTGTTTTATAATATATTTACTGGGGGAATTTCATAACCGGGTGAAACAACCACCCCAGTGGTAAAACAAGTGCGTGTTAACCTTAGGGACCTGGATTCGAGCCCTAGTGGTACCCTTTTGTTTTTTTCACATATTTCCTTGCAGATTTAGTGCAAGCAAGTCTAATTCGCGCACGGTGTACCTCCCATCTTGACCATCAGATCTCATCAAGGACAGATCCAACACACCAAACACGTGCCCCATGATGCACCTTTAGAAAACTATCCCCACTGGATCTCAAACAGGCGCATGGGCTTAAGGTGTTTGGGCCTGGAAAAAATCCGATTCCATACCCCCATTTTGCTTACAACCCAGGCCCTTTGTTTTTTTTGTTTAATTATTTCTTTTCTTTTTTAATCAATTTCATTTTTTTATTTTATTTAAAATCAGAAAAAAATAATAAAATCACAAAAAATTAGATTTAGGTTTTAATTAATTTAATTTAATTTTCATAAATAAAAATTAATTTAATTTAATCATTTTATTTTATTTTATTGATTAATTTATAAAATAATTAGAATTAGATTTTATTATTATTTTACACTATAAAATATTTTCCTAAATAAAACATCAAAAATATTTTCTAAATACTTAAAAAATTTTAGGTTTTAGACATCTTTCCCTTTTCACCACGTTCGCGCACTTTACTTTCGCATTAGTATTTTCCAATATTATAATTGCTAATGGTCTGTAATAGATAATTAAGTTTATTTTACTTTTTCATCTTCATTCATAAATTTGTACCCCCACTCCTGAAGCATTGTAATAGCGTATGACATTTAATTTCAGCAATTTACTGCTTTCCTTATTATTGTTAGTAGTTAGGATTTGTATGGCGAGATTAAAATCAACCGATAGCAAAACCTTAATTTTGAGATAAATTCATTGAAATCAAAACACTTCGCATACGCGCACCTCTAGGATGACCCTCACTTGTTGCCTCAGATTTAAACAGTCATGTCCCTCGAACGTGGTATGCTTTAGCAAAGACCCTCGGTTAAAAGATCGTACTCCCTCGATGACCCTTCAATGTTGTCTTCGACAAACGATCTTAGTCCCTTACGAAAATTGCTAAAGCGTCCTACAAGTTGCCTTCTATGACTGTACAATGACCCACGCTTGTCCCTCACATCCAACAATAGGGCTTCCTACTAACTAATGGTAGGGTAGCACTATCTAAAGGAGGAGGAAAAGAACAAAGACTCTTTCTGAGTAGGTAGAACGCTCGTAATCGCTTGCTCACAAATTTTCCAAAACAAAACATATTTTCAAAAACCAACAATGTCATTCACAAATATTTTCGAAACAAATATTTTGTATACATTCTCAACGATATAAGAATCATTACAAAACTTCCGTACTTAGGCATTTTCAAAATATTTTCAAACATACACAAACACAAATTAAGAGCCCGTAGATAACTAATAATGGAAAGAGTGCTAACACCTTCCCTTTTCATAACCTACCCCCGAACTCAGAAAATTCTCAAAGGTCGTTCCTGTTCTTTTCACCCTTTCCTTTATAGGATAAAAGAAAAGTCGGTGGCGACTCTTGCTATCTGCAACATTTGCGATAAAACACAACCAAAAAGTCAGTTCTCCCACTATATTACAAATACATTTCTTATGGAGAGCAAACACAGATACAAGGGCTAATGTATTAGGGGTTCAACGTATCCTAGATCATTCAAGGCATGGTTCAGGTTATCACTTTCAATACCATTCAACATTGTTTTTGGTTCTAAGTTCATCAAAATTCATTTAACAATACTCAAGTTGTGATTCAAGATGTGATTCATTCAAGTGGAGTTTATTCGGAATTCAAGAAGCAAAAATATCAAAATCAAACTAACTCGTCATTTGACTTCAATCAAAAATGATTCAAGTTCATTTCCGTTTCAATTATCATGTACCATGTTCAAACCACCATTAATCATTTCGAATCCTTGGTGAATTACAAGTTGAAATACAAAGTTGATTCATTTCAAAAGCTATTAAATTTCATTACAAACAACATGAGTTCATTATAAATTCTTCACGAGAAATACACAAAATCAACCAGTTTGCCTAAATCTAAGGTCAAAGCTCCAAGCTTCCATGGCACATCTTTGATTCAGCTCCAAAACATTGTTGTAACTTTCACCAATACCCACTGCCATACTTTTCTGACCAAGGTACTTCAATAATATGCCAAGGATAAGCTCCAAGACTCTTGCTCCAAACCTGCACCTACGCGGAATAAGATCCAAACATTTTTCCCTACATAAACCATATTTTTATCAAAAAATCAGTTCATAAGTAATATAAAGAAATAAATCTGAAAACCAAGCCAACCTTGCCCAATTAGGAAAAACGCATAAATAAGAAGAGATCCAAACAATTAGCATCACTAAGAAAAGTCATCCCTCCTTAAAACACACTAAACTAGTTTCCAAAATAAAATTAGTTCAGAAATTATATCAAAAAAGGAGTATAGTCAGATTGGGTCAGAACTCCAAATCAGTTCAGTATCATTCAAACTGGTCCAGGAACCAACTCAGCTCACTCATTCACTTGAATTCCTATAATTGTCATAACAAAAACCTAACTGACTAACTAACAGAATACAAACTAACTTTTTCTAACTCTATAACTAACTAAATACTAATAGTAGCATTAACAGAATACCTAACTGCTAACTGATTCAATAACTAACATTTCCACTCTCAAATCTTACCATTGATTTCCTGACAAACTTGTCTTAATCCAATGACTCAGATCTTCCCTCTATAACTGTAACCTGCTTCTCCATCAACCTATATAAATTAATTAACATCGTGATAATGCAACATCCGAAAATGAAAAAAGAACGCGACACGAAGAAAATAAGAATATTGAATCCAATCGCAATCGTACCTGGAGCGAGATTTCTTGGGTTTCTATCGCTGATCAGCATCGTTGAAGTACCGAACAATTCTTCCGGATATGCTGGAGTGACGAATAGAAACGGTTGCGGTTCGTTGAAGAAGAATGATGAATAGAAGTGTGTGATCATGGTGATTCAAAGGTTCTTCAAGAATCTTCAATATTTGTAATTCAACAACCTTCATCAGCATCATCCACGATTTTCTTCAATCTTCATCAGTTTTGCGCTTCAATCTTCATTAGCAAGATGTGAACCTCATCTCAACTTTGAGGCGCAATCTACATCAACGTGACAATAACTTTTGTATCAAATGGAGCAACAACATGGGGAAAACAATGTGCATACACTGTTGTGATTGATCAGAAGAGGTTAGGGAGGAGCGGCCGCCGCGTTCGTTTGAGAGAGGAAGAAGAATTGGGACAGTCACTCAAAATCAACCTAATTCCATTTATATTTTTATTTGTTTCTTATTAAATTGTTTTTTGTAATAATCAATATAACACAATGCTGAAAATTGGAAGAGATATTGCACTAGGCATTGATTTCTTTGCGCCTATCCTGAAGCCTAACCCATACACATTTTTGTGAACCCGGACAATTGAATAAAAAAACCTGTATTGTTGGGCCGAATTTCATCATACCTAGGCCTGTTTCAATCCGTTTGGGAATTTAATTAAACAAAACAAAAACATCCTGTTGGACTCTTCACACTGAATGGGCTTTCAGCGCCTGCTTCTGTGCACCCCAAGATTTCAGTTTTCACCCTCCTGACTCTTTCTAATAGTTTAGTTTTTTTTAGTTTAAATTTTCTTTTAAGCTTTCTTAACAAAAAATTAGTGTTAAAAGGACAAAAAAAGACATAGAATTTAGGACTTTCTTTTAATTTTTTCTAATTTTTTGTGATGATAAAAAAGTATAAAATCTATAAAATTTGTTAGTTTTTCTTAATTGATTTTAAGAATTAATTCTTTAGTTTTTGATAGAATTTTTTCTCACCTAAAAAACTAATAAAAATACTTTTTCTTTTAGTTTTGTTCATATTTTACACCGTTTTGCCTTGTTATTTTTTTACGCGTTTGTTCATTGTGCAAGGTACATTTTGGTGATTTCGGTCATGCAACATAACAAGTTGTTATGTGATCGAAGCATACGGCTTATGCTTGCTTATGATGCGACACACCTTATTTCCCATCGTCCTGAGAAATTCATATCATATTATATGTTGTCCGGATACGTATGATATTTTGTGATACTTTATGCAGGAACTTCTGATTATGTGTTACGTTTGTAACACATGTTTGCTTTTATCTTAGTTGGATATCATTTCTGACCTTGTTTGTTTCTTGGTGAAGCTTGCTCGATGCGTACTCCATGCTTCTCCATTGCTTTCGTCCGCTTTCGACAATTCGCTTGCTTTTGGTAGTCGTCGCTACTGCTTTTACATTTTTCCACACTTTATCGCATTTATTTATTGTTTTCCTTGCCATGAGAAGTATGGATAGAGATGTAATATGGGGGTCTCCGTTGCTGATTATATCAGGAACCCCTCTAGTTTATTTAAAGACCTGTTTAAGGCAATTCTGCATTTATGTGCATTTGTGTGCTACTTGTGTTTGTGGTTTGTTTAAAATCCTACCTTTGTGTAGGTATTTTGCAGTGTGTTTACATTTATGCTCGCATTTATTCCCCCATCCCTTATTGAAGTCCTCAAAAGGAGACGAGCAGAAAGGGTTAGTAATCAACCCTCGCAATTTCGTCTGTGTCATCCTTAGCTCGTGACGCACCACGATGCTTCAGAGTTGTGCCTACTCTTGTAATCAATTCGTCGAGTGGAAAAGGGTTTTTCAATCGAACCCCCACACTTTGTCAGGAGTTTGCATTGGCCTATGTTGACACTCTGTCATTGTTCATATTGCCTTTTTTTGCCTACCTCGATATTCTATATCTTTTATATATTGGTTAGGTGTTCAGTCGCTTTGGACATCACATTTTTTGTTTTTACATCCTATTCTCGCTTGTTTGTTTCGGGTGATCCGCTCCCCTTGACTAAAGCATTTCACTTATTTTCTTTACCATTTTTTGTGTGTGCTTTTTCGAGCTTGTTTGCTCACTTGCTTTCCATACCATGTTCCCTTAGGATATGCTTGTTTCTTTCGGATGCAAGTTAGACCTTAGGTTATGAACCATGCATGCTAACATTAGGTAGAGATTTCCCTTTCGTCCTTGACATAGGACCATCATTGTATGACAACATTAGGATTAGAAATAGGCTAGTCTCCCGTAGACTCTTTTCTTCCCCTTTTGCATATGCATTAAAACTAATACTTTGTTTTTCTTGGAAAATCGTAAAACATCTTAAGAATCCTTAAACCATTTTTCAAGGTAACAAAACACAAACCAATCAAACATGGAATCTTGCCTTTAGGGCGTAACTCAAAGCCATTTTTAGGTAAGGACATGTTAATTTACTTATGTGCCAACGCATAAGACTCCAAAGGTCGAGCTGTGACAAGAGGCGGAATTAACATTATTCCTAAAAAATACAAAACAAACAAAAACATGTGACCCGAACTACGGTAACTCTGATTCCTCAAAAAGGATACGTAGGCATTGGGGTAGGGCCCAAGCAAGCATAACTTTATTTTCCCTACATTATTTTCTCATTTCTTTTGCATGCATTCTTCCTCAGAAATAAGCAGTAAGCATAGATTAGACACACCCATAAGATGGATAACAAGAGTGGATACCATAGAGTACTACAGGTGTGTGGGGTACTAATACCTTCCCCTCGCGTAACAGACACCCTTACCTGATCTCTCGGTCGCAAGACTGTGACTTCTCCCTTCTCAGGTTTTCTCGATGTTTACATATCCCTTCATGTGGGATAAAAGATGTTTGATGGCGACTTTATTGTCTGATAATTTTCAGCCGGTTGTTTCATTATCTCGTAAAAATAAAATCAAGTGGCCGACGCCTTGGTAACTTTAGCATCCATGTTCAAAGTAACTTGGCCAAACTACGAACCGCGTATTACGATCAGACATTTTGAAGAACCTGCACATTGCCTTGCTATTGAAGAGGGACCGGATAATAAGCCTTGGTTTTATGACATCAAGAGGTACCTTGAGAAACAATAATATCTAGAAAATTCCTTTGTCATTGACAAACGAACCCTGTGGAAGCTAGCCTCAAAATTCTTTATGAGTAATGACGTATTGTACAAAAGAAACTATGATATGGTGTTACTCAGGTGTGCGGAGAAACAAGAAGCATATACGCTTATGAGAGAAATCCATGAAGGTACTTTTTGAACTCAAACAAATGGACATGCCACGGCTAGAAAAATCTTGTGAGCAGGTTATTATTGGTTAACTATGGAAGCTGATTGCTACGATTATACAAAGACATGTCACAAATGTCAAATCTACACCGACAAAATGCATGTGTCATCGACTCCTCTAAATGTCATGAGCTCTCCTTGGCCATTTTCGATGTGGGGAATCAATATGATGGGCATGATCAAACCAAAAGCATCTAACAGACACCGGTTCATACTAGTTTCCATTGATTACTTCATAAAATGGGTGGAAGCGGCATCCTATGCAAATGTGACAAGTGAAGTGGTTACTCGACTCATCAAGAAAAATCTCATATACATGTATGGGGTCCCAAGTAGAATCATTACGAACAACGGGTTCAATTTGAACAACAAAATGATGAAGGAATTATGCGATGGTTTCAAGATCGAGCATCATAGTTCCTCACCATGTCGACCCAAGATGAACGGGGCCGTTAAAGCTACCAATAAGAACATCGATAAAATCATTCAGAAGATGGTGAAGACATGCAAAGATTGGCATGAAATGCTTCCCTTTTCTCTACATTGTTATCGTACTTCTGTATGAACATCAACAAGTGTGACTCCTTTCTCTCTGGTATATAGCATGGAAGCAGTACTCCCGGTTAAAGTAGAGATTCCATCACTTCAAGTCCTAATGGAAACAAAGCTTGAAGAAGCAGAGTAGGTTCAGACGCAACTTGATCAGCTCAACCTCATTATAGAAAAACGCCTGACAACTTTATGCCACGGCCAGTTATACCAAAAGTGAATGAAGAAGGAATTTGGCAAGAAGGTTCGCCCTCGAGTGTTCAAAGAAGGGGATTTGGTGCTCAAGAAGATTATGTTACCTCGCCTTGATTCACGTGGAAAATGGACACCTAACTACGAAGGTCCATATGTGGTAAAAATAAGATTCTCTAGGGGTGTCCTTATCCTCACAACAATGGATGGGGAGGAACTACCACACCTAGCGAATTCGGACGCAGTCAAAAAATACATGTATAAAAAATCTTGTTAAGTTCGAACCCTAAACAGGAGATCTGGGAAAAAAGAAGTGTCCTGGTGGATTGAAAACCCTAAAGGGTGATCCAGGCAAAAATTAGGGACATACACACAAAAAATTTCCCAGAGGAATGAAAACCCGAAAAGGCGATCTAGGCAAAAATTAGGGATCTTATTCATAAATAAAGAAAGAAAAAAAACTGCGATCTAAGAACCACGACTACAACCATAAAGGAAAGGATTGATCTGAATCGTTCGACTCAGAAGCAGAGGAGATTGGAGCTATCAAAAGGATATTGGAGAAACAGCAATAGCAATTACCATTTTCATTGCCATTTTCAATTTTCTAAAATTACCTCTTTCAAGGAATTACATCTTGTACTCTCGCCTATTCAGAGGCATGTTTATAAATAAAACATTTACTTTTTCAAATCTTTCAATTGTGTTTTTTTTCCTTTTTCGGACTTGTTGGCAAAATACTATGATTACTTTTTTGAATACTGTGTGGAAATCATTTTGGGGATTGGAAAAATAAAAGCATTTGATATAACATCAAAAAGCATTTTGGTTAGAAAAACATCAAAAAGAAAATCCACGCCTACGTCCACGTCTATGTCTACATCCATGCCTGCATCCACAACTACGCCTACGCCTACACATGCAATACAGTGATACGGTGGCAGAACCGACTGTTTTTGGAAAATGCTGGTTTGTGTTTTGCATTTTGTATTTGCAAAATGTCGCGGTAAGCAAGAGTCTCCACCGACTTTTATTTTATCCAATTGGAAAGGAAAAAAGCACAGGAAAAATTCCTTTTTCGAGATTTTGAGTACCCTTTTTATAGAAAGGGA